CGGGCCGCCACGGGAGGGCTCTGGGCTCCCGGGAGCGGGGCTGCGGCGCCGACAGCCCTCGCAGCAGGCAGGAGGGCGGGGAGAAGCCTTCTGGGTTCCTGTTCCCCCCGACAGCCGCGGGGACACCGCCAGAAGGCTTAGGGGCCCGAGGCTAGGGTTGGGGGCATGGAAAAACCCCTGGGCTGCAGTGGGAAGGCCCCACGGAGCAGGGGCGGCGTTCGGGCTGCAGCAGCCCAGGCAGGAGAGGGTGCCTTTCTTGTTTGTGTGCTCGCTCCCCTTTCGCCTGCCTCCAAAGCGGCGCTGAAAAGGCTTTGGGGCATAGGTCCTTCCATGCTGTGTCACTCGGGGCTTCTTTTGGGCAGGGGCCAGGTCTTTGTTTCCAGTTATACAGGGTCCAGGACACAGAGGAATCCTGAGCCTACGTCCATGTGTGCCTAGAAGAAATCTAACTTGTAGAGTTTCCTTCGTGGCTAAACTTTCCTTCTAAATTTAGCAGAAAAGGTTGAGAGTGAAAGAGATCCAGCTGCTAACACTGTCATCTGGGACTGCTCACGTTTCCGCTGGCGGCATTAATTGTGGCCTCATCTCAATCTGCAGTCCCGAGAGTCGTACCTCCGTTCTGGAGCCCCTGTTTTCTGTTTTGCAGCCAGGCCTCACTTCTATCCTGTAGGCTCTGGTATTGTGAGGAGGGAATTGACAGCTTTGGGGCTCAGACTTGCTAAATTCTATCGGTGACCCCAAGTGGGAGCGGGTTACAAAGGAGTGCTGCATTAGTCTAATATATCAGTCAGTTCCTTCAGCCATCAGCTCCCTTTAAATACAGCAACGTTCACTAAAATCTTTGGTGTACTTGAGACTCTGGTTCAAACACTGATGCCGTCTTGCAAAGAAGGGTTTAAAATATTTATTTACTTGGGAAAGAGCGATTGCCGTTGCTGCCTGAGATAGCGATCTCAGCTCCTCAGCTGCTCAGTTGGATCATAATTGCTTGCACTCTGGGAACATTAGAAAGATCAACCAAGATAAGCACCTATTGCACTAGTTGCATGTGTAGTGAAAGTTCCTGCGCAATAATATCTCAAGTGTGGCAAGCAGCAGAGGAGCTGGGAGGCTGTGCGCAAAGGGAAGCGGCCAGCCGCACGGGCTCAGGCAGACCGGTGCAGGGCTCAGGACACCGCTGGGGGCCATGCGGTGAGTTGCCATCCTGCGATGCGCAGTGGGATATGACTGAGGGAAGAGTGATGTCATTGGCAGGCATTTATTGGGTCGCAGTTCAGCTGAATTGTGAGGGGACGGGAACAGACGGTGGTTATGCACCTCTGGGAGCAAGAAAAGGTGGGGAAGGAGCAGTACCTTGGGGTGTTAATAGCATAATTTTTGCCAGAGGTTGCAGGTCCTCCAGCAGCTGATTGGAGACAAAGCAAGTGGTAAACTCCTGGTGCTGTTTTGTTTCCCCTTTTCTTAGAAGTGGGGAGATGCTGTCACATCAGATGCTGAACTGACAGCCCTGACAGTGCTTGCTCTGAACCCCAGAATAAGAGTCTTCCTTTCCCCAAAAAGCTGTGGGGAGCCTGGGAGCTCGTGCAGCGGTGGGTGGGAACGCAAGGGAAGTCAGTAGACTGAGTATGCAAAGGACTGGGCAGACAGGAAGGGTTCAGCTCCTCTACCGCAACGCTCTGTTTGTATCTGAGCACAGTTACGACTTTTCCCCTCCTTGGATGGACACTGTCCAATGTCAGTGCAGTCCTGACCTTCACACTCGGTCTGATGAAATATTAAAGCTTTACTGTCCTGAAAAACTGCTGCACAACTGGGAAAGCACAGCTTAGCAGCCATCTGCTCTAGGGGTGGAGCTGGAGTTCCTCCTGCTTTTGTGTTTTGCTTTGTTTTTCCTGCAGGTGAACAAATCCCCAGTGTAAAATTAGAAAGCAAATACCATGAGATCTGGGATGGGGGTAGGGATCTGAGCTTTAAGAGCTCAGTCTCTCCCAGTTAGGCTTTTGCAATAATGTGCAAAGCTCTATGCGCAATCTAAAGCGTGTGAGCAAAGAGCTTGTGCAAGGGCTGCAAATATCAATCTAGAAATAGAGAAGGTTCACAGATGAAATATTCTTAAGGTGGGAGAGGACAGAATGAGAAGCATGCAAAATTATCCTAATCATATGACCTAATGCTTGGCATCCCCCAAAGATGTCTTGCAAGAATAAATTAACATCTTGTACTACATGTGCTAGAGTTTCACCTGTCTAATCCTCATTTGTATAAGCAAGGAAACTGAGGCACGGGGAGGGGGAATTGCTTCAGCTACAGCTTCTAGGTTTGGCCCTGCTTTTCCATTGTCCCCAAGCTTCAGACTTGCAACTGCTCTAGTTTGTAGATGGGACCAAGGGGAATTTGCTCCTCATTTTTTGAAAATTAGACTAGTGATTGTCCTCAAATGGAAATTCCACTTTATTATTAAACACTCATGTTGCACCGCTACGCATCCGGTTTGATGGGAGGTTTGTTAACTTCAATAGTCTTTGGATAACAGCATGATTTTGAAAGAAGGGGAACCAGAAGGGCCCTTGAGAGATAACCTAGTCAACCTTCAATTCCAAGGAGAAATTTTAATAATCTTTTGCATTGCTTATGAAACTTGATTTTAAAATGTCCAGTGAGGGAGACTGATCACTTTCCATGGGCAGTCCATTCCAACATCACACTGTTTTTTGCTTTATAAAGCTGCTCTGAATCTTCATTGTGCAGTTAACTCCACTACAACAATTTATGCCTTTCTCTTTGCAGCTCTTTTAAGTATTTGAAAACTATTCATCACATCTCTCGAGTGTTCTCTAGACTAAACAAACCCATTTCCTTCAATCTGTCCTTGCAGGTCATGTTTTTCCTACACCTCTGTTCATTCTCATTGCTCTCCCCTGGACTCTCTCCAGCTGCTCCTTGAACTGGACAGTATTCTAGCTGAGGCGTTACCAATATCTAGGAGAATTATTTCATATGTCTGGCAAACAGTACTCCTGTTTATATGTTCCACAGTGGTGCTTGCCTTTTTTTTTTTTTTTTACAACAATATGATATTCTTCACTCATGTTATGCTTCACTTCAACCCCTAGATGTTCTTTTGAAAACCTTTAGGAATTGCACCAGAATAAAGATGGGGTTTGGATTCTCAGCTAGGACTGGAGCGCTGAACCCTCTGGCTCCAAGTCCTGCTTTCAGACCAAGCTTCAGTCTTTGTCTGCAGTCTCCAGCAGCTGATATCCTTTGACCCAGGAGACAAGTGAAAAGAAGCCAAGCAGTCTGCAGACCTGCAGCTTGTGTGTTGGTAGTGAAACAAAAGCCTTCTCCAGATATAACTACCTGATGCCTGAGTAGCAGAGGTAGGTGAGCATCTTTTCTGCTCACCTAGCAGCCCTACCTCCCAACAGCTGCCTGCAACACTGAGTAACAGCCGCATGTGCAGCTGAGAGGCTTGGAAGTTACACTGTGCATACCAGGAGCTGCAGAATCAAGCGTTTGCTTTGTGTACTAGCCCTAGGCAGGGACAGGAAAGAGAGCGCCAGCTTCTGAAACAAGCCAGACCCAGCACTCTATAAGGAAACTCAGAACAGCTGGCAGTGACATACAGAGCATAATGTTAGATCTGGCTGGGACTCGCCTCCAGAGACCAAAGGCTGTGAGAGCTAGAGAGAACAGCAACTCAGTCTTCCAGCTGTGGGAACCAAAGCAGCAAAAATGCAAGGCTAGACATCGGGGGGAGGGGGGGAAGCCCTTGCCTTGCTGGTCCTCTGTACAACAAGGAAAACAATGTATTATCTAATGATGCTGCTCTTCCTTGGGAGATGGACAATGATGACTTTATGCAAGGCTTTCCCTCATCTCAGTGTAAAAGTATTCTACTTTACAGTTCTTTCCCCTTTGTGCCATTTCCTGTAATCCCTGAAAACTGCTAAGCCAGACACCTCGTCTTTCCGGTAGTGCTAAAATGTGACTGATACCTGCTCCTGCTAGTCATTAATGCAGCAATATAAAAATCCATTCTGATATCTGCATTGTCCATAGTCCCAGAGAACCATTCCAAAAATTGGTGTTGCTATCCATTTGCTATCTGAAAGGATAATGCTGTCTGGCTTCCTCTTCTTCCTGGGATTGTTCAGAAAAACATCTCTCTGTTTTCCTCCTACATGGCATCTGTTCCTTCCAGGTAGGACAAGAGCTGTCTCCTTTGCAGCTCTTGCTACTGAAATATCCTCCCAATACAGTCTTCCTTGTGATCTCCAACTTTTCTTCTGTTGCTAGAGAAGAATCTCTCTCCTTCCTGATTCAGGACTTTTTGTTACTCTCTTCTTAAGTTTTAAATTGGAAGGCAAAACACATAAGCTAGACGAGGAGACCAGCAAACCCCTAGAGCCATGCAGAACCCTAATAAATCAGTGGAAGTAATAGAGAGCTCTGTCATTATATAGCTCTTGTGCCTTTTTTTCTGCAGACTTGTGCTTTATTTCTGAGTTTAAGGTATGCTGAACCCATAAACAAGTAAGTCGTTTCATGTGCAAGTGCTTCCACGATTAACACTGTGATGATGACTTTGAAAGTGCTTCAGTAATTTGTCTGAGTCTTCTCAGGCAATCGTGGGATTGAACCTTGACATCTTGGTTCCAAAAAGACATTTCAGCAGATCACAAGTAGCTCCTGTCACAGACAGGCTTCCTACACATTATTCTCAAATCTCAGCTGTTCCTGGATTTAGCTTCTCCTCAGAAATGTCAGCTCTACAAATGGAAATAATGAGTTGCAGAGAAGTGAACTGACTTGTGATTTTTATAGCAACTGCAACAGAATTCAGGTTTGCTTAACAGCAACAGAGAGCTCCACCCAAGCTGCTCTTATCTGAGTAACGTAGATGGAGGTTTACCGAGATCTGACTACTAACCTGGCTCTGGTTTAGTTTCAGGGGTGCCCGATTAATACAAAAGCCAACATGAACGTGGGAACAGCACACAGCGAGGTGAACCCCAACACCCGTGTCATGAACAGCCGGGGCATCTGGTTGTCCTACGTCCTCGGAATTGGCCTGCTGCACGTTGTACTCCTGAGTATCCCCTTCTTCAGCGTTCCTGTGGTTTGGACTCTTACTAACATCATCCACAACATGGTAAGGGAACAGCACGGTTGGCTTGATTTCCTGGGGCATGCAGAGGTGGGTCTCTCAGCACCAGCTGTTTTTGTGAGAGATCTAGTAAGATTCCTGTTGAAACAATTCCTTTTTCTGCATTTCCAAAGATGTGGGGTGACTTACTCAACTTCCACCCCTCAGACTGCACCTTTGCCTTTGTTTAGTGTCCCATCAGCAGAGAGAGACACTAAACATCTGGTGAGGCTGCTCAGAGTGGACACTGAACTGATCTGCCTGCAGGGTAGGTCCCTTTGCTGTGTCCACCTTAACAGAGGAATAGATTTCACAGGCCACAGAAGCTAGCATGACAGCTCTCACTGTGGTTGATACAATAAGACTGAATTGGCCTCATCAGAGTAAAAAACAAGATTAAAAATCAAACCAATTTGTTCAGCTTAAAGTGAAAGATTAATTCAGGAATAGATTTGCCTCTTCTAAGGATCAGGTACCTAAATGAACGTTAATCTGTGTTGTGCTAGATGCGTACGGATATGCACAGCAGACCCTGACAGATGCGTATGCTGCAGCAAGGAAAACCGTGTACCAGGGCTATCTGTGATGCCAGAACCTGCTCTGTTTATGCAGTGATGTCCTCTGCTATGCCCTGGAAAAGCTGCAGCCACTCAGTAAAACCTTCCCTAGCGAGCAGAGAAAAACCACGATCTGTTCAATGGCTTGCTTCTATGCCTCTGCCATTGCCTTGTGCAAGTCTTAGCATGCTTGTGTCCTAGAGCTGAGAGCAGACCTCTAGGCAGCAATTCACTCTCAGGAAAGAGAGACAAATTAACTTCACAGAAATGCAGCAATCCATTTCATAGCCTTTATTTTAAATAGCAACGCAGGCAGAGAATATCCAGGAGTCAAAAATGCCCCCCTTACTGGGGACCCTTGTGCTTATGTTATCCAAGTCTCTAGCAAAAAAAAGAAAAACAAAAAAAAAACCCCACACAACTGGAGCTGCTGGAGGCTGAGTTTAGCACGAATGCTGCCTGCTTTTCATCCAGATCCTTCCCCTTCTCTCCTCTGTTCCCCCCGCCTTGTGCCTGTCCTGGGACCAGGAAGGAGTTTAAAAGGCCAGCAATGACTGCATTTAAAAGACATGCCTAACTTGGCCAGATGCTTGCTGCTTATCTGTAATTCATGTTCTGCTTCAAGATGTTAACTTGTAATTAGAGTAGGAACAGACCCTTACTGCCTACAGGTCTACCAGCACTTTTTAAAGCATTTAGCATTGCTCTTGCATGGTACAAGGAGTCTGTGTTAATATCCTGATCCCAGAGATCCAAACACTGTAATGTTGCAACCACCTTCTTTGCTTATGCCCAGGAGCTGATTGAGAGGCCTCCAGTGCTAACAGCTAAGTCCGAGCTAGCCCCAGCCAGCAGTCTTCCTCCTTAGCTCTTGCGGCCTCATTAGCTGCTGTCAGTGTAAGAACACGTCCCAGCGATGGTAACGTGTCCCTCTAGCGGAACAGCGTGCTGGTGCAAGTTGCCAGTCTCACCCCTCTTTCGCAACTGTACTGTTCTTGCTGAAGTTGAACTCTCTGGTGGCGTGGTGCGGGACATACCGAACACTGTGTGTGCTTCAGGCTGCATTTATATTTGCTGCAGAGTATGTACATCTTCCTACATACCGTGAAAGGAACGCCTTTTGAGACTCCAGATCAAGGGAAGGCTCGGCTGCTCACGCACTGGGAGCAGATGGACTACGGCGTGCAGTTCACAGCATCACGCAAGTTCCTGACCATCATGCCCATTGTACTGTGAGTACTTCAGGGCAGTTGAGCTGTCTCACATGCCTGCGCTAATCAATGCTGCTGCTGAATATGCTGTCTTGGGAAAACAAAACACTATCACCCTCAAAGAAAATTAATTCCTTTCTGCTCCCTTCCCCAGTTCTGCCTTTAAAGGAATATATTTATTAACAGATGTATTTAGTAATAGGCTGTAGTATAACGTGCTTACACCTGTACTCTTCTTGGCCACTCTCAGGCTAAATGTTTTGGAGAACAGTCTCCAGCTTGCTTTGGGGGGGTCCTCTGCAACCTGAGTTAATGCTCACAGAGTACTTCTAGATAGATCAGTATAGACCTATGCTGTTCTAAGGTCCTGTATCCTGTACATTGCTGGGCTATTAGTGAACTTATTTTTATACACTATGGTAATACTTAAGAGCCTGTTGTGGACTAAGATCTTGTGATAATAGCTGCTGAACAGGAACAGAACAAAAACATGGGTCTTGTCCCAGAAGAGGTCAGATATAGGCTTAAGAAAACAGGTAAATGAAGAAAGAATGGAGAACCTGAGGAAAAAGGATGAGATCACTATGAACACACGTGCTCTTGGCTTGCCTGGTTTCTACATGATACTATTTGTTTTTCTGGCTCAATGGCTCAAAAAGAGTTTGAGGCTGTTTTTAAAGAAGGGTACTGAAGAGTCTGGATGGACAGTTGGAGGCTACTCTTCCCATGTTCAAGAGGGAAAACAGGAGAAAGGAAATTAACGAGCGCTGTTTCTGCACCCAGATGCGTGGTTTGTCAAATCCAGGGTCTTCTTTCCCTGTCCCTAAGCTAGTTATTGCATCTATATAGGAGGTCTGGTTTTGTAGGGTGATTCATCCAAGGATTGAGGGAAGCCATAACTGATCATTTATTTGAAGGTATCTTTGTGCTTCTAGGAGCCATGAGGAAGACCGAAACCATAGGTGCTGTAATTCAACTTCCTCTTTTTGTTCCCCTCCTTTCCAGGTATTTTCTAACCAGCTTTTACACAAAGTATGACCGGATACACTTCATAATCAACACCGTCTCCCTTATGAGTGTCCTGATCCCCAAATTGCCCCAGTTTCATGGAGTCCGGATCTTTGGGATCAACAAGTACTGAACTGCTTGGATGGAGAGAAGAGAAGAGGAGCAGGAGGGGGGGGGGGGGGAAATTCCTTCTCTTTAGTCCTGTTTCTTTACTCTCATGCACACTGGGATATAGTTTCACGGCGGCTGTTTAAATGCAGTATCCAACAGACGTATACCGCATGCTGGATCCTCATGCCCAATAAATCTAAACAAGCTCCAGAGTAGAGTTTAGTGCAGAGCAGGATACATGATGCTGGATTTCTTTTATTCCAGTGTCATTAAGTACATGCAGGACACTGAGACTTCAAGGTACAAAGAGGATGAATTCTGGGGAGGTTTTCACCTATCCCAGACACTGAATGAAAAGTATGGGGATGAGGGGAAAAGCTTCTAGTGCTGGTACTATTGCTGTGGTAAATGCACTTTAAAATATATTTCCCTTTCTGAAGCTAGGTGCTTTAAGTGATACGTGGGGAAATGCAAAGGGATACAGCCAAACTTTCCCAATACTTGATTGTTTTAGGGTATGGGTTTCATATTTGGGCAAGGGGTGGGGGAGGAGAAGAGAATGACAGATTTTTATTTTTAAATCCTTTATCCCACTGAGAAAGGAAATTCTTTTACTGAAAAGAACACAGGAAGGCATGACCTGCAATTTGACAGAGTTTTCAGTTTTTTATGGTACCATTCATGTGGTTCAGGGGAAAAGTCCTAATCAGATTCTAAATCGTGCTAGTTATTTTCAACTCATACCAGAGTCTGAGTAACTTTGCTCCCCACCCCAACCAACCCATTTTAAAGCACACTCGGAGTGTTCAGCCAGTGCTCAGCAGAGCATTTGATTAAGGGGCAAGGTGCAAGTCATTTCAATGATTGACTAGAAATGTCACTGAGCTACTTGGTACATGGAGATCACATGAGGATGCAAGAAACTGAAGACTGACAGGTATAGGCCAAATGAGAGACAGCTGGCTGCTTGATACAGGCAGTTACTGGCTGTGACTGAAATTTTTCTCCTCCAGCCAGCAACTTGGTTTCCCAAGTCTGCGTATGCGTTACTGAGATCTGCCGGTTCTCCAGGTAGCTGTGGACTTAACTCAGCATCTCACTTCACACCAGGAAAAGCGTCTGATTTCTGACTTAGCTTGGAAGTCTGTCCCTCACCTTCATGCACAATGTCTTGCCCAAGTACTGCAGCAGCATGCCCTGGCCCTTGAATGACCATTGGAAAGGGTAAAGGAGCTGTAGAGAGCTGTACTGACAAGCAGCACCAGCAGCAGACAGCTAACTGAATTGACCAACAGAAGGATGCAATGGGTCACTGAAGATAACTGATGATTTAGTATAGAAACAACATTGAGCTTTTTCCCCGTAACATTATCCCCCTAAGTAAAATAGGTTTGCAGGTTTAGATCTCCTGGCTGAGATGTCTTTCTACTGTTCACAAAGCAGTAGGTTTTTATTTTGGGTTGTGTGCTGGTTGAAATATGTTTTTCCTCATGCTTCCCCTGAAAGCCTGTATTTTTGTTGTCTTAGTGCTTATATTGTCTCACATTTTTGACAATAATATAAACATTTTCAATATAGTATTTTTGTTCCTGCATTAGCCAAGTATAGCCTTAAGAGGTCAGTGGGCAGTAGAGTGGATATTGATGACTTCTCTTTGATGGCCTCAGCATAGGACAGGGATAGAAGAACTTCAGGTTTGCATATAAGGTGTAGTAATACTCCATGCATAATTTTGGGCAAGCAGTTTTACTTCTCTGTCTCAGATTTACTATCAGACTGCTGCAGAGAAAGGGAAAAAACATTTAATGCATCTCAGAGGGCTGTTGTAATGCACAGAGAAGCATTATCTAATATGTTTGAAAATGGAAATATTCTAAGTAAAAAGGAAGCTCTCAAGAAGATAGAAAAGAGTCTGGCTTGATATTTGAGTGCTAGTCTCCAGCAAGGGAGTTTGACAGATGTTTAATTTATTATTTGGTTTGTTTTTCTTTTTCTTCCTCTTTCTTGTGTGTTTTTTTTAAACCTTTTAACCACCATGACATAGAGATTGCTGCTTTAGTTAAGGTACTATATACCCTAAAGCTAATGTACTCTTTAAGCTACTAGACAATGACTTTTGAAATAAAATATTGTTTTCAAATTAGAGCTAGTTCTCCAATCAGCTCAGTATCTTTGATACCGTTGATTTCTTAATCATTTCAATGTCTTGAATGCCTGTAGAAAGACTGCTACCCTCACATTTGTAGAGCCTGTTCTTAACAGGATAGCTAGAGCAATATCCATAATGTAGACTGTACGGTGCTTAACAAATCTGAATGTCTGGCAGCACATGGAATGTGCACGCTAATGGCAAATCTCCAGAGGAAAGAACACAGTTTAGTTATTTAGGTAGAATGTGTGTGTGTGGGGGGGGGAATCCACTTATTTGCAACAAAAACAGTTGATTTATCAAGGATGCTTTTCCTTAAAAACATTATTCCAATAAGATATATGTATTGACTATTTCTGTAATTACCTGCACATTACACAGAATCAGAGCAATTTTGATATTTTTAGCAGAAATGTAAACTGAAGCTGAAGGGGTCTGACTGAAGGGGTCAGATTTTCATGATGAAATACAGCACTAGCTTCATTGAAAGCCTTGGTGTTACAACAGCTGAGGATCTGAACATACATTATTTGTACTCTTAACTGACACTATGGACGTTTGATTCCATTTTGTTGAATTAAAGATTAACTGTAAAACAGCATAGAATAGAATGGAATTATAAGCTTCTCAAAAGGGCAGTTTTTAAAGCCTAAAGTCTAAAATCTCTTGTTAGACAAAGCCTTAATTATAATAGCAAACTTTTTTGATTTACTTTGTTCACACTGAAATGAATTAAAATAGCCATTACTCATATGTATTTGGGGTTATGTGGCAAATTACATTCTTCATAACATAGGCATAGCATTTTTGCTGTGGACTATCTGACAGTTAACTTGGACTCATACAGTTAATCCAATCAAGTGAAATATAAATGAAAACAGGAGAAATATGGAAAAAAGTGAGAGTAAAAACTGAAGAAACATTTCATGGGATAAGTCACTACTGAGAAAAGGGACATCAAGATAACATGGACAAGATGAGAGATTTTCAGACAGTAATGTATTTGCAGCTAGCATAGCAGCGATACAAGGGTGAAGCCTACCTTTTGCACAGAGAACCAGAATGCGAGTGAAAAGACTGTCCATTAGTTCGTTGAGATCACAGGATTTTCTCCCAAGTACCTGCATGAAGGAGAGAATTGATTGTTACTGATTTTAAATGGGATTTTGATCACAACACGTGATGTTTTCCTCTAGGCCTTGTACTGGCTCCCTGCATAGTGACTAAGGTAAACTTCAGCTGGAGAATTAAAGGTGGACTCCATTGTGTGAATGAGAAACAAAGAACGGACAAGTACGTACTTAAAATGCTTTTCATTTTTGTTTCGCTGTGGATGCAGAAGGGAAAAAGTTTTTGAAAACCGCCACTAGATGAGTTCACAGGCACTGGCAAAAGCCATCCCTTTGCCTGATCTTGTTGTGGGCAAAGACTTCTATAAGCCATTGTTAAGACCACGTACTTTCACACGGTATGGAAATTATTGCACCAGGAAGAATCACAAAACAATCACATACTACCAGCTTGATGTTTCTGAATTAGGGATCCTGTCTTGCAATTCATTTAATATAGCTAACAGGATGTCGTGGAGTCCAACCCTTTGCAGGAGAAAGCCTTTAAAAAAAAAAAAAAAAAAAGAATATCCTGAGATTCAGGGCTACTTAATTCCAGAGTACTTTTTATTATTATTATTATTTGTTAAATAAAAGCATGGTACTGGCCCTTAAAAAAGGGACAGCAGCTGAGTTACCACTGTTAACACATTAATATTTCCTGTGGTGACTCACATTGCTTTATCATTGCCCATAATATGTATTTTAAGCATGCAAGTGTACGTGTATATGTATCCTCACTGGATCAATTTAAGCAAGCTAAATTAGTTTTTTATGGAACATTCTTACATTGTACATAGTTTTAGGGTTATTTTCCAGTAGCCCTTCTTTTTGCTCTGTATACAAAAATTTCATCTAGAGAACTTTCTAAAATAAAGTGTGAATATTTTTATTACTCCTTTGTACAGTACTCTAAGAGAAACTAATAAAGTATTCATGTAAAAACTTGTATTTTGTTCCTTGAATTTTGCGTGGACAAGTTTTGCTGTTAAACAAGAGTGGCAGGTGAGTAACACTACATGGCAACTACAAGCCCACCAAATCCTAGACTGCAGTAAAGCAGAAAGCTTGCAGCCCGAATCCCTTAACAGAGTACTACACGGGTGAATTGCACAAACCCTCTGCCTAGTAACAGTGCAGCACAACACATGGAAATGTGTGTGCCTCACTATTCACCTGGAACACAGACAAATATAAACATGCAGAGTGCTTTGTCCTCAGTGTCCTACTCCTTGCACACCTGGTGTCCAGGCTTTTAAAAGCAAACTGTAGAAATTATATAAAAATCTTATAGAAAACCCCAAGAAGTTGTTTATGACAGCATTCATACCTGTAACACACAGACAGTGTCCAGAGATTTAAATTCAATGATAACAACATAAGGTGGCTAGTTAATAAAAGTGCTCCCAGTAAAATAATATCATTGCCCTCTTGTCTACAACACACCTAGTTATTTCTGACAGATTTAGTGAAATGCTCCTAAACCGTAATGCATTATTCCTCATCCTAATAGATAAAAAAAATGTAATATAACTGAAAATTAGATTAGAAAAGAAACTAATCTTACAATATAAGAAGAATTAATTTGTGGAACAACTTAAGGTTATCCGCACCCGCTGTAACAGACCCGTGACAGAACGCCACAGATTGAGGGAAGGAATTAAGACTGATGACAGAAATAAATTTTTGGAGGAAGAATTATGCAAACAATAGCCAATTACCCTAATATAGCACATACTTCCGGATATCTGAACTATTTCCCCAAACCGGTGCTCTAAGAGGCCGTACCACTTAGGAAGCACAGCAGATTGCCATACACATTTGCACCAACAGTAGAGGAGAAGAGAAGCCACTTCACGCTGTAAACAGGCAAGTAAATTTTTAAGAGCTTTCAGTATGGGAGAGGGGTAGACCAAACTGTCTGTTAAGAGTAGCTTCTTAGTTTTATCTTTTTTGAAGTCTGCCAAGAGAACAAGTCCTCTGCATACTACTAAAATGATCCCACATTAAACACAGAATGGAGTAGGACTATTTCTTCCCCCATCATTTCATACAATATTCCATCCTTCATGATGTGTCAATCTTTACAAGTTTGAAAGAATCAAACTTACTAAGTCTGTTTTTTCAGACCGCTGAGGGACGTTAAGCAAGACAAAGGGAGCAGTGATTCCCCACCCACCGCCAGTATGGTGGGAATTGCTAATCTGAACTATAAAGGAAGGATCAGCTTCTCTTCCTTTCTCTAACAAAATCTGATAAAGTAGGGTGCAGAGGAGGGGGAAAAGCCTGCACACTTTTCTCCTCAATCAGTACAGTAGCCTTTTTAATTTGTAAAACAAAGATTTTCTTCATCATGCCTTACAAATGTTACTGGATGGATGAAGAAACAAAACTGAAAGTTGAGAAATAACAAGCTGCGCAAGGATACTATCTGACATGCAGTGTTTGCCTTTCTGCTTCTCAGACATCCAGCTTCCTCGAGGGGGAGACATAAGTAGAGAACTAGAACGTATCCAAGTAGCTGTGTTGGAACGCATATGTTTTTGGGGATAAGGAGCTAGCATAGATACAGATGAAATGCACCCAAAATGTTGATCTTGCCTACCTTTACCCTTAAGTCATTCTGCTCTCAACACTTTCACTTCCTCACTGTGAGACTTCAGCAAAATCACTTTTCTAATGCTTTAGCATTGTCATTTCCAAATAAATCATTCTTGTTTGTCAGGCTTCAAGATATAAGGGGATAAAATGCAGAAGTAGCACTCACACAGGAACTAAGAATCATCCTCTGCAAACTGCTAGTTCATCATGGCAGGAAATTGCTCAATCTCTCTCTTTTTTTTTTAACGTTACATGAGGTGAACACATTAGTTATTAGAGATGAAAATGTTTAGGACAACAGTAGCTGATATACTAGGTAGGCAGCCATGTCCAGTTCCAGTAATGAAAATTATTATGGTGTTGTTTGTTTCATATACCTGCACACATGTCTTAAGTGAAACTGTAGTAATAGACTCCAGTGCTGAAGATCAGTACCCTCGGAAACTAATAACTGTGTTCTCAGTCTACAAACAGTCTACGTGAAGACTGGAAATTAAAAGGCAAAATGGGATAAGCCTGAACAAGCTTAATTTGCAAGCTATGACTCCTACTCCTAGTTCTCCAAGAACTTCCATGTAAATAATCTTGGATAAATTATGTCCTTGTACAAATGTGGGTTTTTTTGGATATTATCCTTTCTGAAATGTCCTCAATAATTAAAAGTGCCAGATATTTTGCTACAACTTCCTATTCATATTTCAAGTAACTTTGCTTAATTTGTCTTTACCTCTTCCCTAAGGCACAAGTACACTTCCTTTCGGTTCAAGCTTTTATCAAGCTGCAGCAGAATGTTTAAAAAAGTTACCCAAACCATAGCAAAGCAGATGGATCCAAAAGGAGAACTGATTCCAGTTTACAGTATCTTAGACCAAGAACATTTCAGACCCCTCTGCCTAGTTAGAAGAAAAGGAAAAACCATATTCCGCCCAACTCCTGGCTACCTAAGAACAGAGTATAGTCTCTATGATGTGTTGCTACTCGGAGAAGACAAAACGAGTACAGGTAATGTGCAGATGTATCATTCTTAAGTTTACAATTTCTATAGACAAAACATTTAGATCATCCTGTTTTCTCTCAATGGCTACCATGTCCCATCTTCACTGAATCCCATGTTCTCTTTTTGCCCAGATCCCAGCCTAGATCTTCTCATTATATTTCTCTAGATGCTCCTCTTTTCTTTAGATCTCCAGATCCTCTTGATATTTCTCTATGCACTCTCCTGACGCTGTTGAGCAAGTGCTGAGTGGCCTTTTTTGGGCCACAGCCCAAAATGCTTCACCCCTGCCCTCCATTGGCACTACGCAGCACTAATCCCTTCCTTACGTCTCCATCCTCCGCAGTTTGCCCAGCCCCGTTCACGCCCTGCGTGGTCTAGAGGACCTACTACCAGCGGGGGTTCTCTGGGGTGCAGCTGCTGGTGGTGCCGTGATCTTGCAGCTGTGCCTTTGGTGGTGCAGCATTTCCCGTGGTGGCACAAACCACAGAAGCACACACTGCTGTGTCAAGAAGTGTCCCAGTGCTCTGCACAGCTGCTTCAGCATCTGCAAAATCATTGCATGGCCCTTTTCTCAGGGAGTTGTGGGGCCTCGAGTCAGTTCCTCTGCTCCCCCAATTGTTATTTCTTATGCACTACTTCGAGGGCTCCTGCAGCCCCCTTTATGTGCTGTTATTGCTCTCCTTGGGTCAGCATGGTGCCCCTGTGCTTCCCTGGGGCTTGAGCTGGACTGAGGAGGAACCACAGTCCTGAACCACAGTTCTGAACCACAGGGAGTTCCACCTAAACCTGAGAAAAAACTTCTTCACTGTGAGGGTGACAGAGCATTGGAACAGGTTGCCCAGAGAGGTAGTGGAGTCTCCTTCCCTGGAGATATTCAAAACCCGTCTGGATGTGATCCTGGGCAATATGCTCTAGAGGACCCTGCTTGAGCAGGGAGGTTGGACTAGATGATCTCCAGAGGTCCCTTCCAACCTAAACGATTCTGTGGTCTTTCTTGTGTGCATGAGTTATAATACTGAGTCTGTGTAATTACGTTTAAGCTAACGCATCAAATTATTTCAGAACTCCTCATTCCCGCTGAAGATGTTCAAGATTCAAGCCAAGTTACATTCACACATCATGTTGATGGCAGAGTTGAAGGGAAACTTCACCTTCCTGTTAACTCTGCAAACACAGAAGTGTCTACCCGCTGGTCCAAAGAGGGGTCCATCAAGCTGGAAAAGAAGAGCATACCAGTAGCAAAACTTGAGTCACTAAAAACAGAAAGGTAAGGCAGACAGGAATGGAGAATGCACTCTTTGGTCATACTCTTTTACCTTATGCCAGTTCACACAATAGTTTTTCAACTGCCAAAAACAAGATTAAAGCCTGAGACCGTACATTTTCCCTAACTATGCATACTTCTTGAGGCCCAGAAAGCGGTGGTAAAGGCTCCTTTCCTAGGTTTGTAATGCTTACAGATTTCTTTGTTCTTAAGAAAGTGGAAACACCTGAATGTGAGTCAAGCCATCTTTTCTCATGTTTTATACCTGGAAAGGAACACACAAATCAGGACAGACCACCTATGTGGCCTGCCAGAATACGGCCTCCTCTGCCACTTCTTTCCTGAGGGTCCCTGTCAGATGCAGAAGGGAAATGCACTGTGGACAGCAGAAACCGCACTTCATTTTCTGCCATCTTTTTTTTCCACAGAAGCCCTTTACACATTGTGACATTTATGTACACTCACATAATGGGAGAAAGTACACAAGCATAAAGCCTTTGTCTCTAAACAGGCTGCAGGTATTTTTGGTATAACTCACAGAATAAGAGGAAATAAGAGGAACAGACGCTTAGCAGAGATATTGCATCCTTTTTCTCCTTCAGAAAAATCAATATGAATCACTCCTTCATCAAACAATTAAAGAAAAAGCAACAGAATTTGTATGTGGTTCATGAATCAATACAAGCCTCAGAGGAGACCAACTATGAGGAATACAACAAGACAGAAGGGAGTTTCATGGCCCAACTTTATGCCAAGTTCAGCACACAGGTTGGATTTGTCTTTAACTTCAGGAGCCAGTCCTTTTAGAACATCTGCGTGCCATTCAGGTCTACTAACTCATTTTTCATTGACCAGGGCAGCAGAGGCTGCAAACACAGCATAACTATACCCAAAGGCTGCACCATAGCATTCAGAACAATGCAGCTGACTATTGAAGATGGATCATGGTGTAAGTAACTTTCAGGAACTTCCAATTCCTCTATTCAGGAAACAATGCAGCAGAGCAAAAACATTTTCTAAAACATCATTCAGCCTAATGGCCCCCGCCTTAGCTCATTTGCAAAATAAAATGAACGTATGCAATATTAACTGCAGAAACAAAGTGGGAAAAGTCACTATATAGTAAGTTAAAAGAGCTACTTGGGAAAGAGGTGCAGTCATGCTTTGTTTTGTAAGGAAACAAATTTGTAAGGAAATCTCAACCATAGATTTCACAAACTGCAAAGACAACTCCTGTTGAAAGACTGTGCAGAGGGCAAAAGTTCTTCTTTTCTTACAGAATAAAAGAGCTTGGGAAAAAACAGGGTGGCTGAACCTTCAATAGGAAGACCGGCATAAGAGGCTAGTCCTGGACAGGTAGAGAAAGAAAGGATGAACATCCATGAAACCTGCTGCAGGATTCTGGAGATTACATTTTGCCTTGCCCCCCTATCCTCTGTGCTTCGTGTACCTACATGGATCTTGCTGAATATAAATTGTCATTTTAATTTGCTCATATTTTAACATGCGGTTGGGCAGTTACAAATCTTGACATAAAGCACATTGCAAGAGAGAATGAGGTCTGAGAATGACAACTGAATTCAGAAATGAATGGGCAGAAGACAGATGCATTGGAGAACAGTGGAAATCATACCACAATCTGACCTACAACTAGCTCAGGAGATTTCATAACTGGGATATTAATATCTTCAGACTTAAAAAAATAAAAAAAAAATCCAACTTTAAGTGTTTTCTAAATTAACAATTCCCTTTTTATTCTCTTGCAGGTATTCATCATTTCCCAGAAGAAAACATACAAACATTCGTGTCTGATGGCAAGCAATATATTTTAATGATTCCATTTGCATTACTTTTATCCATGTGGCTAAGCTGAAATTTCTCAGCATAAACACAAACCATCAAAAGCAATGCAATTAGCACAGGAGATTTCAGAACCAGGATACTAATATCTTCCAACTTCAAAAAAAACTTTTAAAAAATTATCCAACCTTAAGTATTTTCTAAATTAACAATTCCCTTTTTATTCTCTTGCAGGTATTCATCATTTCCGAGAAGATAATATACAAGTATTCGAATCTGATGGCAAGCAATGTATTTTAATATTTTCATTTACATTACTTTTATCCCATTTGGCTAAGCTGAAATTTCTCAACATAAACACAAACCATCAAAAGCAATGCATTTACTGTAGGCTACTGTCCATCACCTGAGCCATGACAACTGACCATAATAAAGTATACTCAAATTACCTATTATTTACTTTCACAAATATTAATCTACATGTTTCACGTTCTAATTTTAGGGATGCCAGTGGACCTCTTATAGTATTCCCTAGTTTACAAGTGACATATTTTTAACTCTTTCCTGGTTTTCAGGCTTCTCGCATGGAAAATTAGGAGCTCTAGAGAAGGAAGTTAAAGCAAAATATCAAATTTTCTCCATGTTGTCTGTGGATCTCTACGCCACGTTTTTAAAATCCATCAAAGCTGTCATGAGAAACAGAAACCTCTTTCAAGAATTGACCCAGAAAGTAAGCAAAGTTGTTCTTACTGCCAGAATTTGTAGGTACAAAGACCTCCACTATCATATGTCTGCTCCCAAGAGTCATCTCCTATGCCATGACTATCAAACCACATTACTCCTCTCAGCACATTCATCTGGTCTTTATCACCATAGAAAAAAAAGAGAGAAGGTGCTCAGGACAGAGTGGTCTGGGGAAACATGTCCCGCATATAGCTTAGCAGGCCTCCCTCATCTCAGCTTTTAGAGATTTTTTTTTTTATTTAAGAACACAGAAGAGTTCTTTATCTGAAGGTATCAACAAATCATTTAAATCCAGTATTCTGTATTTAGTTGTAGCCAGTGTGAATGTCATACTTCACTAAAGCCTCAATTAGAGCCTCAAAAATAGCTTAGGGAGAAGAAACCCATATTACATGACTGTATATATGTCTACTCCCGTAGTTACATTGCAATGCACTACCAGCAGCCTCTTCTCTTAAACTCTGAAATTTCTTTCTCTGATCCCTCCCAGGTGGAAGCAGTTCTTGATGAAACTGATAATTGTGAGCTGAAAACAGAGAGCCCAGACTTAAAAGACCTGCTGCACACTTTACAGGATACTCCAGGAGATCTCCTCCTTAAGCTTGCAGGAGCAATTAACTACACCCTTTATGCTTTAGATGGTAAGGTCCTCTGGTCATTCTAATAAAGAAATCTAGTAGCATCAAAATAGTCTGAAAGCATTCCTGTCTACAAGGCTAATAGAATACAAAAAATTTACAGAGCGTGAAAGATTTGTAGAGAACTTACCTAAAATCATTTCTTAGATTCTGGAAAATGGAGGTTTCGACGAGAGCACAGACCTGTCCATTACAGCTGCTGTTCCGCAACACTTTGAGGGTCACAGTGCAGTAACTGCTAGGAGCATAATACTGAATTACCACATATATAAAGGGATCCTCGAACAAAGCAAAGGAGGGCTTGAAATTTGAATTAAAACATAGGTAAAGGTGGGAAGATTAATTACAGAAACGAGTACCGATCCTGGGGTTCTTTTCCTAAGGCTGCCACAAGACATGGTTTCAATGTCCCCTCAACTCTCTCATCCCCATGATTTCTACTATTCAATATTATCATCATATGTAAATTAAAATACTACTTTCATTCATGTTGCAGGGAGACCGCATGATTAATTTAGCATAAAATGTCTGAAGAACTTTTGATCAAACAAGCATTCCATACTGACAGTTGATGTTCATTATTTTGCCAGTTGTCTTTGAAACAAAGCAGTGGAGTTTTTTTGATTGTTCGTTTTTGGTTGGGTTTGTTTGTTTGTTTGTTTGTGTGTGTGTGTGTGTGGTTTTTTTTTTTGGCTACAAACCTGTTTTAATTCTCCAGAGTTAACAGAGGATCAGCTGCTGCTATTGCTAGAGTCCTTGGAAGAGGATATTGTGTTCCAACAGCTTAAGTTGGTGAGAAACCACATATCATCTACTTGTCTCGAAATGCAGGGTTGTTTTTTTTTACTTTATTTCAAGCAACATTTAGATTATGGTATAAGTAGCAGTATCACAACTTAAGGTAACATTGGGAAGAAGGGAAGGAAGAATCACTACAGGCTTCAAACTCGACAGGGATCAAAACACTCACTTTGAGAGAAATCACACAAAACAGGAAGGCCTAAGTCTTCTAACATGTGTTTTGCAGATATAATAAATATTAAACTGGATGCAGCTGACTATCATTTTCTGGTATATTCCCTCTCTCTTTGGAAAAGAAAGGTACTTTGTCACTTGAGTTTACCAGAGTTGCAAGTATCCCCTTGATCACCAGTTAGGGGAGAAAGAGAACGCTGCTGTGGAATCTGTTAGCTTCTTGGGCTCCAGATTTACAAGCACAATAGCGTTTTGATTTCTGGGTCATTACTAATTCACAAGAAACTGGAGTACATGAATACGGTAATCTTTCCAGGTGAAAAGTGCTGTGTATAAATGTGTATTATTCAATGTGCCTATAAGATGTTAAAGCATTTCATAAGTCATTTATTCACTTAATGACTTCCAGTGATGGCTGGCACAGCCTTACTGCAGCACTGACGGGAGTTTTAAAATACTGATTTTGCTGTTTTTCTTGTTGTGAAGGTCAAGAGCATCTTGGGACATGACATACAAGATATGGAAGGGTGTTTCAGCATGGATGCCAGTCTGCTTTCCTTCTCACAAGAGAAGGAACAAAAATTAACCACCGCAATGTTAGAGATGAGTGGAGTGAAGATTCAGAAAAACGGATCTGCTGAATATAAGCAAGAAGCCTTCTCGTCCCTAGCAGCCCTGTATGCATCTTTATATGTGCTAGATCTGCTGAGTAAATCAGACTAGACTACACCTTTCTTCCCATGATTTAAAGGGAATGACTTGAGGATGTATTTGAAAGTCTGTCACTACAGGCTAGCTTCTCTCTCCAAGCTTCATTCCTGTCTAGGCGAGACGTTATCTATAAGCGCTCAGTGCTGCTTCTAAATGAGCGGGAAAAGCCGAGTATTAAGGCAAGGTATCTGCTTATAGAAGCCCAAAACCAAATCTCAGAACTAATTTCCCATGAGGCTTGGCCTCATCTTTCCACAAAATTCAGAAAACTGATGTGAAATTGTTTAGGTATTTAACTCTTTTCATAGCAAGCATAACAAATGCCCTCACTGTTTTTACAAGAATAAAAAGAATAACTTCTTACTAACTATCTGGGTGTCCTTAAAGGCAATTTTTTATTCACGCGTATAACACGGTCCAAGATGACTGACACTCAGCTAGGCCAGAACTCTTACCTGGGCGGCTGCGGGGGACCAGGCCGCGCGCTTAACGGGAGCCCAAGCTGAGGTAGCTGAGGTAGCAGAGCTCGGGCTAGGCCCCGGGCCCGCTCAGAGGGACGGGGAAGAGCACGGAGCGCTCTCTCGGCCGGGGCCGGGGGAACGGGAGGCGGCGGCGACGCCGGCAGCTAACGCTCCTCACGCCTCGCCTCAGCGCGGCAGGCGGGAAACGCGCGCGCATGCGCAGAGCGGCGGGCGTAAATCACCGGAGC